ATTAACATTCATCAACCAAATGTCCAATACTCAGATGAGATCTAAAAGACATTGTAAGGTTCAGAAAAAATGTATACTTTATTGGAATTGGGTACCAAACTCTGAAGTGCTTTCAGCTTCTCGTTTATCCGACTTCTCCTCCTCTGTCCACAACAACCATTCAAAGGATAGGAAAAAAAAAAGAAAAAAAAATAACTGCGCACTAAATACTAATTTTGATCAAGATGTTAAAACAACAAACAAACAAAAAAAAGAACCTTTTCTGATAAATTGTGAACTTCAGCTGCTCTACTCCTCTTTGAAGAACGCGCTGGATTTGAATTAGTTCGAAAAACAGAAGCTTCGGATTCCTTCATATTTCAGTGAATTTCAGTCCAAGCATTAGATTCAAGTTACAAAAAAATGTAGTTTGACAAAAAACGTTCATGTTTTAATTATAAAAAAAAATATTAAGGTTGAAATCTTGTCACAAACCCTGTACAGATTTTGATCACCAAAATTAAATAGCTGTATTTTCAACAAATNCACCTCATAATTACCCAAAAGAAAATCCGAATTTCCAATATAACCATAAAAATTACTGAAACATTTTTTCCAAACATAAATTAGACATTACATGTTCACTATATATTTCAAAACATTGACAAATACACAATCGTTCAAAATCAATCCATAAATAAGCCAATAAAAAACGAGTCATAAACCGAAAAACAATCCAACTTAAAACCAATGACAAAATCATAAATCAGTGAAATTGGTATACCTGCAATTTTTTTCAAAAAGAATTTATCGGTGAAAGAATAATTTTCTGAAAAAAAATACCTCGAAGCCGGAGCCCAAGTGTTCAATACTTGCAGAAGGGTTAAATTCTTCAGTTTGTTTGGCGACGAAACTTCTGGGATCGAAGAAATCTCCGCCGGAGGAACACTTCGCCGACGGCACCGGCGCCTCTCCGCCGCCGAACAAGCCGCCAGCGGGAGCCGAGGCGGCGCTGTCCTTGACCGCGGCGGACGAGGACGAGCTGTGGAGAATAATTTGAAGAATCGAAGAAATATCTTCAGAATCACTGCTTCCGTAAGGATCCGCCATTAATTATTATTACTATGATTCAATCGCCCAAATCTCAACAATAAAAATAACTTCAGAAACCGTCTCCCCAAATATCTGATTCAAGGAAAAATATGCAGATTGAAGCTCGAAATTAAGGTAATTTCGAGTTTCAATACTTAATATACAACTCTTATTGCTGCTGTTAAGTGTAAAAACATATTAAGAATACATCGTAATTGATTTCTGATGTTTTTTAATTTCAATTTGGGAATTGCGTGGTTGATTGCTCTTGTTTTATAAAGAGAGGGGTATGAAGTATGAACTTATAGCTGATTTTTACAGAAAATGGTTTATAGACGTTATTAATATCTTTGTTAATATCTCATTATCCCGCCTTAATTCTGCTAATGTTTCTATATTTACAAATAAAGGTCTGAACTTCAGCAAATCTGCTCATGGTACCCAATATGAGGAATATATATATGATGATGTGTATGCATAATGCTACTCTTATTATTAGATCGTAGTATCATTTATATATACGCTATTACATAATATTACTATATTTTAAAATGCATTTAAATTAAGAATAGCCTCAAATGCAATGCAAAATATGATTACACACACAATAAAAAAATAGCCTTGTCATTATTGTTATTATGCTACTCATTAATTCTTATTGAAGCTACTCTTTTATTTATAAAATAAAAGCTTCCCACTATATAATAAAAATTCTCCATCATCATGATTTTAGTTTTAGTATGCAACCATAAAATGACACGTTTTTTTACAATTAATATTTTGACACATGTCATAATATAAGTAAATTTAAAATAAATGTCGATAAATCAATTGATAAAAAACTCAATAAGAAAATTATTGCTTCATAGAATTTTTGCATAATGAATATTATTTTAAAATTTTTAAAATTACAGAACACTCTGTTTAAGATATTTAAAATTATAAATATGTTTTAATAATTAAAATAAAAGTGCTTAATACATCCTTATTCAAATTGTTTTTTGCTCTATATATATAATGATGAGTTTCTTAAATCTATGAGTAGTGCATCGTCATCTTATGTATCAATTTTCTAGTATTTCGTAATTTTATTTTGTAAATATTTTGTATTTATATATGCAACATTTCGTAAATTTTATCCATAATTTCAAAGTTGTAAGACATTTCAATAACTTAAATTATGAATATCTTTTAAAAGTTAATTTATTTTTTACATTTATTATCAAATTTCATATATAATATTATATCAATTAATCATATCTTGATGAGTTTGACATCCATATTGCATATATAAATAATAAATAATTGTATTTACCTTTATATTAAAATAAAATATCTATTAATGTTAACTTAGAAATAATAAAATTAATTATCAATAAAATAATTTTATCTATCAAATCCAGTGTATAATATAAACTAATAATTAAATTTTTAAGAGGTATTTAAAATTAAGAAAAAATCTCTTTTATTTTCAATTTTAACTATAATATTAAAAAAAAAAATTAAGCACATGTATATCAAGTGTTGTACTTTGGCATGATTGGTAGGAAGAAATAACATGAGAATGGAATAATTATTCCCTTACTCATTCCTTATCCCATGATTGGTATATTTTTCTAAAATGAATGACCATTCCAATAGGAATGACAAAACTCATCTTCATGGAATTATCCATTCCATAGTAAATGGAAGGTTTTCTCATTCCCATGTGTGTAGGAATCATTATTACAAAAAATAAAATTAACAATTAATAAAATAAATAAATATATAATTTATATTATAAATCATGATTAAAATATATTAAATAAAATTATTTTAAAAAATAAAATTCAAATGCAAAAATTGAAAACTTACTTTTATTTATTTTTTAATTAGATATATTAAATAATTATAAATAAAAATAAAACTAAAAAAGCATTTATATATAATTTAAAAATATATTATTTTATTTTTATATATTATTAAAAATATATTTTTTTTATATATTAAAAATATATTACTTATATTATTAAAAATATAATATTTTATTTTTATATATTTTGTAAAAAAGAATATATATATAATTTATTAAATGTACATTATTTTTTAAAAAAAGCATTTATTTATTTTTATAATAAAAAATGATAATGTCATTCCATTCAAGTCTTATTCCTTCTGCATACCAAACGCATCAATGACAAAACTTGTTTCATTTCATTCTCATAATCATTCCATTCCTACGAAATTTCATTCCATTATACCTATCATGTCATATAGAATTACAAGCTAGTCGAGTTTGGCTCAGCTAATTAGCTAAACAAGCTAGTAACCCAGCTCGAGCTCGAATCATTTGTTAATATTAATAAGTTGAACTATGAAAAATTATATAAATATTTTTCTTTTCAAAACTTAACGAGCCGAGACGAATTCGACTTGTTAAGTGTAGTGTTCGAATGTTGTGTATTATTTTTTACTTTAATCATATATGGATAATTTTTAAGTCAATAATTTTTTATAAAAAAATAGTTCATATAAATCGAGAGAGCATCATTATTTTACAAATCCTTTTTATAGTTCTACTAAAGGTTTAATTTTTTTTTTTTAACTTATATCTAAAAACTATTAGATGAAAATAAATAATATTACAGTTGAATGCAGTACATATTTATTTTTCATCTATTGTTTTATATTAAATTTATCTAATACTAACATGACATGAATATTAGCAAAATTTGTGTTGATTGATAAATCGCGTGTAACACAAGCGTATTATATTTAAATAGTATATATTGTGTGGTTTCTAAAGAAGAAATATTTTGAAATACAAATTTCAGCATGCAACAGACGAATGTTAAAAATAATGGGACTAGAATATTATATATCGTTTGATATAAAGTTACATATGCATATTTTAAAATTCAAAGAAAATAAGTAATGCAGTTTCCAAAGAAGTAATTAAATTTCGAAATACAATTTTTTATGTTTATTTTTTTTTATGTTTTTTGCAAATATATTTTCAACAAATACATGTTTAATACAGTTAAGTATGGTATATTATATTATATATGTCTAAACGCCGTTATGTTTCATGTTATGTGATTGACTTTTCATTCAACTAATTCAACTTTCAGTTAGTGTCCAGTTATGCTAATGCACGCCACTTATGAATTATGAAATTTCTATAGTTGACAATAGAAGGATGTACATTACGTAATAAGAGTAGAAGGGAAAAATTGCACCATTCGTCCACTAATTATACTCGAATTGTACTTTCGTCTTTTAATTATTATTTTTTTATTTTTGGTACACTATCATTTTTTTTTTGGCAATTTTCGTCCAAATCGAGGTTCCGGTGCTCATTTTTGCCGGAAAGCTGATGCCGATTGTGCGCCACATCAGCTTTTCCGGTGCCACATCAGCTTTTCCGGCAAAAATGAGCACCGGAACCTCGATTTAGACGAAAATTGCTAAAAAAAATGATAGTGTATAAAAAATAAAAAAAATAATAATTAAAGGACGAAAGTACAACTCGGGTATAATTAGTGGACGAATGGTGCAATTTTTCCGAGTAGAAGGGAAAACTACAACCACCAACCGAAATTTTTGAAACATTCATCATGACGTTACTGAACGGAGTAAATTTATTTTACATAAATGGAAACATTAGTTAAAATATATGTTATTTTGAAGATGCAATATTTTATTATGAAAATATGTCAATTTACTGAAAAATATGTATGTCCACTGATTAGGTTCTCTAAACATGAGCAATTGGGGGCTATTTCTATTAATCTTATATATATATTTCTTATATTTTATTTTATATAACACGTTTTAGAAATATACATATATTTATTCCATGACATCTTTTGTTTTTATATTTAAATCAAAATGATCAGATTACATTTTATATGTCATTGTTTTTATATATATATATTCCATGAAATCTTTTGTTTCTATTACCCTTATTCCATTGCCCGTGTCCTTAGCCTAAAAAAGGTTGCACAATTTCAAGAGCGTCATTCCCTAGGTATATCCACTTGTCTGATTGCAGCAATGATGATAACATTTACTATTACACAATTTCAAATTTTTATTTTACTCTCTCTATTTAATTGCAACTCTCCAAAAAATAATGTAAAAAAATACCTAACTTTGTGTTGTGTCACTGTGTGAGAGAGTGATGTCTGCTGCTTCGAGCTATAGATAAAAACCTTATCAAGATAATCATTTTTATCACATCCTACAAAATATTTTGTTGTCCGACTCTTCTATTTGATCGATTATAATAAGAGCATCTTTAATGAAATTGCAACCAAAAAGTAAAGAAGGTCTAATAATTAATTTGGATCGTAAAACAGATATGATATGCATGTAGAACAATGATAATTAATGAAGAACATGACTGATAGATTAAAATATAAAATAAAGGGTTAAAATGTTGAAACTAATCCTACTTCTAGAATTCTAAAATTTGCTCATGTTATTGTTATAACTCCTTTAAAGTCTGTCTATTTTTATATGATTAAATTTTGTTTTGGGCCTTGACAAATAATAGTCCAACACATGTGGACTGCAGGCCTAGACGCCAATCCATACCGATCTATAAACGGTTGTCCAGTGTTTATCTGTTAAAGGATCGCTAACACCAAACTGTCGATCTGGTCTTTACAAAATGAAAAAAGAAAATATGCAATATTCCAACGAAAAATTTTATGGTAATATATTTTAATGGAAATTCAGTAACAGGTGTCCAAGATTCACCAGACGATTGTGGACCGAACTTTTCAAGCTCCTTGGGACCGAGCTCAACTTTTCAACGAGTTTTAACCCCCAGACCGACGGGCAAACCGAGAGGGTGAACGTGCTACTTGAGTGCTACTTAAGGCACTTTGTAAGTGCCAAACCAAAAGGGCTGGGCCAAGTTACTCGATGTGACCCAATTTTCTAAAAGTTCCATGCAAGATCTCCACCAAACCTTCAATGGCACACCAATGGAGAATTCATCAATGGTGTGCCATCCACCACCTTCCTCATTCACACACCATTGTCAACAAGGGTGTGCTCAATCTTGTCTATAAATAGAGTGCTTATTTCATTCATTCAAATCATCCAAGAGTGTGATCAATCAACCTAGAGAGTATTGAAACACAACCAAGAAGAGTTGTGGAGAGTTTGAGAGTTTTTTTTCTTAGAGTTAGTAAATCTCTTGTTTTTATTCTTGTGAGTAATAGAAACTTGTTTTTCTCTCAATTATGAGTATGATCTTGGGATGATACCACAACAAGTGGTATCAGAGCTTGGTTTGAAGCTTTCGAGCTTAATTTTTAATTTTTCCGAGCTTCTGTAGAAATTTTGAGTTTCTGAGTTGTGCTCGAAATTCGATTCTAAAGACACCGTTAGATTCGTCTCGTCGAGACGGTCACGGCGGTATCTTACGGGAAAAAAACGGACACCGGAGCTGAGAGTTATAGCCTTTTGAAGTTTTGAG